TTGAACATAAATTCCATATAACTGAGGTAGATAATCTCACCCCACTTCAAACCCACGCTCTGTTTATCATTTTAATATGCCACACTCCTTTCAAGGAATCCTAACATTCTCTTTCTCATGGGCTTCTTACTTCTTTCACACTCACAATATTCACAGAGTTATTGACTAAACTCTAAGTTGCCAGGAATTCACCAGTAAATAGCATGTTTGTGAACAGTTTTTGTCTTGTCGAAGAGTTTTCAAGAGGATCGACAGAAAACAAGCAAACAAACAAACAGGGCTTTCGCCTTGCATTAGCCGTCCAACTTCAGGTGGCAATGACACTCTGACAGTGTTGGCATTTTCGGAGGGCGCATTAGCAGGACGGGGCTGGAGCAGTTTGCACCATATTTTTTTTTTATTTTTTTTGTCTAACTACTTACAAACGGACAAAAACTGGGATCCCAGTATCTATATAATCTTGTTCACCATAAACACTACAATTATCTACAGCACTGCTTAGAGCTTTCCAAAAAAATATATATAATTTTTTGCTTAAAAGTGACAATATCCTTGTGAACTAATGAGGATTTTGTGAAAATATTATTTTGTTATTTCTGCCCTATGATGCTCCACTTCTCTTATCTACAGATTCTCCACACTTCTATCATCACTCAACTAACACTGGGGGGAAACCCAAGTCTAATTCCCCCCCTTATAAGACTAGTCAGGCAATACTTGGGGACCCTCCCCTACCCTGGTGCTCTCCCCACTCTCTCCCATGTAATTCCAAGCACGGCCTGTGCTGTGTGATTCCCTCCTCTCCTCTCTCTTTCTCTCTCCCTCCTCCCTCCTCCTCCCTCTCACAACACAATCAAGCAGCCTGTGTTTGGGACTTCTTTCGGAGGCTGGTGCAGCGGAGTGATTTTACCTCCCCTTTTCGCCTGGCGGATGTATCCTTTCCGTGCACTACCGTCAACCCGTCCCCATAGAGACCGCCCGGAGCCGCCGCCGTGCAGTTAAGTAACCGATTTCATGTCTGTCCATTACAAGGACACCGTCACCGGGACCCCAGCCCCCCCGGGGGGATAGAGAGGAGGGGTGTGGAGGGCGGGGATGGGGGACATCCGTGTCGGGCAGTTTAGGTGGAGGGGGGAAGGGGAGGATTAATATAAACAGCCAGGTACAGTGACGTATTGGCATTAAATGCCCTGCATGCCGGCTGCCGGGGGGCTACTGAGCCATGGCTGCCTGGGGGAGAGTCCCTGATCACAGCCTGCTCGCCACTCTCTGTCTGTGCCATGGACTCTGCATGCACAGTGTACTCCATGATCCAGATTTATTTGTTAAACAGAGATAATAAATCAGCCTGGGATAGATAGATAGATAGGAAGGGCTTTCATTGGAGCAAGGCTGGTGGAAACGTAGGTCCCAATGACTACAACTCTAGAGAGGCTTGGCCATCCGGCCAGCCAGCCAGGCTGGTATTATAAGAGTAAGCGGCTTCCTACACATGCCAGGCATTAAAATCATATGAAGCCTGATAAAGTGGGCACGTGAAGGATGCCAGTCTAGGAGACATGTAGATGTATGCCTTGGCCCTGGAGCTTACAATCCAACTTGTAGTCATTTCGAACTAATGAGGAACTGGCTACAGTTATGACAAATGATTGATACATTTTGGCTGAAGTACTTATCTAATCTGTTGAAGACTGTATCATTTGTGTGTTTCTGAATATAAATGTAAGAGTATATGTGTGTGTGTGTGTGTATATATATATATATATATATTATATATCTCACCCAAGGGATTGTGATCTAGTATGTGCCTAATGTTTGATTTATGTAAATCACTAGAGCAAAGAATAAATCCCACTAAAATGTGAAATTTTCCCTTTGTGTCTGCTTGTAATGCTGTTTGCCCAAGTATGTAGTTATAGTAACCATATATCACAGTTGAACATAGTTTGTTTGTCCTTTTGTTGTTTATTTGCTGAGTGTTCACTGGCAGATTGTTCAAAAATAGGACCCATACAGAAAATATTCATGCTAACTGCTGCTTTTGACCAGTTACAGATTATCTGCATGATTAAGTTGTGAACAAGGCCATATTATTTTGCTAGGGACAGTTTTTAAGAATGAACAACAAATCAGTTTACTATTTTATTTTGTTGTTGTTGTAGTTTTTAATAATACCTAAGCATCCTGCAAATGTATGTGAAGCCATATGTGCTATGAATCGAATTTATATAAAGACATTTAAATGACAAGTTTTATAAAGGAAACTTGGACCCAATGAAGATTATCTGAAGGGCAGTATAAGGTGTAACATAACATTCCATTAATGGAGTAGACTGTGTTACCAAATAAGATAACAGGAAATGGAGGTATATGGTGTGTTAGGAAGATTATGTGCCTCTTAATATAACTGCTGAGAGAGCTTTTATTGTGAAGTACCCTGAAAAAAAATATATACTGACATGCATTATTGCTTTATTTCCTTATACAGAATTGGATCCTTGAACATAGATCACAGGTCAGATATGTTGATTTTTGTGTTTGCTTGATTGTATCCTCTCTTCCCAGCAATAGTAATGCAGCCAAATCTAACTGAATGGTTTCTCTGTTGAAGTTTGTACAATTTGGCACCCTTTTCTATTGAATGCTTCCAATACATATGTTATAGCTATGGTTTTGTAAGAATAATCTGTTATATTGCTGGTAGAGAATAAGAGCCAGTCTGATGTTAAAGGGACACTATAGTTACCACAACCTCTACAGATTAATGTAGTGGTTATGGTATCTATATTATATCCCTGCAGCATTAGCACTGTAAGTCCTGCTTTTTGACAGAAAGGGCAATGTATACATTGCTGGATAGTTAAACCTCTAGTAACCGCTCAGCTAGCTAGTGGCAGATCATCAACTATTGCAGTGCGTTCAGATTCTCCACGATCTGCGTGGAGAGTCCGAACGTTCCCCAGAGATGCATTGAATGCATCTTTATGAGGCGACGGTGATTGGCGTAGCGCGGCGATTTGCCGCGCATGCGCAATACACCGCCATGCTTTCCTATGGGAAAGCTTCGAATTGGCTGAGATCCTCAATTCTGATGATCTCGGCCAACGAGGCGGGGCCAGCGGAGAGACCAGCACAGCGTGGGATATAAAGGAAGTATTAAACCTGTAATCTGCGGGAGAGAGGGGTGCTAAACCTTGTATTAATCCATCACTATGGAGGAAGGTAGTGCCTTGTTTGAGTAATGTCATGCGTTTAGAATGTTTGTTTTTATTACTTTTATTATCATGTTAAACCATTTGTTATGTAGATTAAAGGCCCTTTCATCTAGGGGAAAGGGTCTATGTATCTGAATAAGTGTTGAATTAAGTCAACAGTGAAACTAGTGCCATTTATGTTCTCAAGAGTGAAACCAATTTATAAGTAAAATAGGACATTTAAATAATGATTAGTGACACTTGTTAATAATGTGGACAGTGAGTCAGGGAGCTTTATTGTATGGAATGTCGAGATTCCTGTGCAGCATTAATGGAAATTGTTGATTAATTGACACATTTATATAGTGTGGTGCCTGGTTTTATGTTGGCTTTCTGGGGTGCAATTTGAAAAACAGCATTTCCGGGTTGTATTGTCTTAAAAAGGCACGAGTAGTGTGCTTGTCATTTAAACTGTTTGCAGACAACAGTACATATTTTCATAATTGTCCTGATATTAACACAGGTGGCCTTCTGAATTGACTTTTTCATTTTGCTCATGTGAAGACATCCTTCTAACATGCACTCTTTTTTTTTTTTTCAACTGCCTCTTCAATGCACTGGTTAATTAAATTATATTGCCTCGCACTTTATGAAGTAACTTCATTAGTAACATTCCACATCTTTTAATGCTGCCAAGCCCAATTTGTGTTCAATTCCTCTGCAGGTACTTATGTTAACTGAATATTAAATGTTAGGCAAGGGGAAACAGTCTGAGTTTTGACCTGCATATATTGTTGTGGGGGCTGATTGCCATGTGACAGGGGAGGCAGTGGTGTATCCGTTGTGCCCTCTGTGAAAAACGCTGTCAGTATGTAAAAAAAGAGAAAAGTGTTTGGTGAAAGGGAGGAGTTATTGCTTCCATGCTGTTGCCAGTGATTTGACAGAATTGCTTATTCACTGCCTGACTGTTATGGACTTAACTTTTGTTCCATAGACTTTCAAACAAATGAGCACACTTAGTTTTGAGGCACACTAGTATATCACTTTGATCTAAAGGGTATCCTTTCTCTGTTGGGAGTTAAGAAGATTGGTGTTTTCCATTCTGAGAACAGAACTGTGAAATTATATATTTATTAAACCAGCAGACGCTCCTTTTAAAATACCTTTTATTAAACCTTACTACTTACATAGTCAAAAGCTGTTTTTGTGGTGCAAAAGGGTAATAGAACGAGCTATGGATCATAGTAAAATCCAAAATAAACCTGAAAGTGGAAAAATCTAATCTGCTGCTATCTCTCTGTGTGTGTGTGTGTGTGTGTGTGTATATATATATATATATATATATATATATATATATATATATATATATATATATATATATATATATATATATATATATATATATATATATATATATATATATATATATATGTATGTATATTCAAAAATAGTAATGCACTCCACCTTCCTTGATGTACTTGCCCGGTGCTTATCAGCAAACAGATAGCACTCCAGGGACTTCCAAGTAGAATGAATAAAACTTAGCTTTTATTAGCTCAAAATAAAAATCAACGTTTCAGTCTGTATCACACACAGATGAAAGTCTGTGATACAGACTGAAACGTTGATTTTTATTTTGAGCTAATAAAAGCTAAGTTTTTATTCATTCTACTTGGAAGTCCCTGGAGTGCTATCTTGTACTTTTGTGTGTGTGTGTATATATATATGTGTATATATATATATATATGTGTGTGTGTATGTGTATATATATATATATATATATATATATATATTCTCCAGTGTGTGTGTGTGTGTGTTTTGTATATATAATGTAAAAATGTTTTAAGGTAAGCTTTCCCCCCTGGGCTTACCCAATCTCTGTAGGGTCTTGGAAGCAGAAATTTGGTAATGTTCGTTGAAATCCCAGAGGTAAGAGTAAGCCCTGTGAGGCAGCTGTTGGGGGATTCTCCAGAGAATCAGAGCTTTACTGCTGAAAGAAGAAATTCAGGCCTCTCTCTCTCTGTCTTGCTTGCTTAGGATTCAAAGGCAGCTTTTGTTTAGATAAGAATGAGAGGTGCCCTGGAGCTGATATTTACTTTTTTTATGTTTGTGTTATTTTTTATTTTTTTTCTCCATCACATGTCACAGTGCATGTTAACATTGGTGAAGCCGGCTGACTTGATTTTCACAGTAAATAACTCGACTCATGATATTCATGTATTTAAATATCTTAATAAATCTAGGGATATAAATTCCTATAATCTATTAAATAACTCACAGGGTCATGGGAAGCCCCAGAGGCTTCTTTATCAGCAAGATGGCTAAATCTGCATGCTTTGAATTAACTCCCAAAGTACTTGCCAAATATTTTGCTCCTATAAATCAAATTATATATGTTATGTTGTTAATAGCAACTATAAATATCACAGCTCATAAAGGCCAGACTTTTTATTTTAAGCAATGATTTTCAAATGCAGCCACCACCATTCTTGGTCTCCTACCCAGCAATTATGGCAGTCCCTACCCACGCCACGAGAACGTGACTAACCACAGAAAAATATAATCTGTGAACTCCTCTGTAAGGGACTGAATTGATACTTTCTGTCTAAGCAAAACTATTATGGGGAAAATACAGAAGTTCTGGAACAATCACACATCTTAGAGATGCCTCTCGTTTGTTCAACCTCTCCGTTCAGTGTGATATATTTTCCCACTTAACTATATGATTATTCAGAATGCAGTTGTTTAGGGGCAATGTCTTTCTTCGAATGTGACATATCATTTTCTTTACACTTATTTGAGAATGGTGACCACAAAAAAAATGTGTGTCACCGTATAACTCTGCCTTGTATGACATTACACTGCTGGCAGCTTCTCTTGTAGCAAAGATCCATCCGGTAATTACTGCTCCTGCTCTTTACAGCTTGCCATTAATACGCTAGCAGTGCGTAGAAATAGCCAGACACGCTATACGAATTACTGATTTTCCACAGATGTTAAACATTTTCACTGCACAGGAACATGGGTTTCTGCTTAAATGGACAAAATCCAACCATTTTACAAGTATAGTCAATTGTTACATGACTAGCTTTGGCAAATCACTTCAGGCCATTTGCTACTAGTAGAATTAGGGGTAGATACCAAATGTGGTAGAGGCAATACAATGTCAAGATAACAGAAGGCCATAAAAACAAAAAATAGTAATGGTTGAGGAGCCCTTAAATCTTACAGCTGTGAACAGACATCCTGTTTTTGTTTTTTGTTTTCATGTTTTTGTTTTATGTACAGTCTGCCTACACACTGCATTTAGCATGTTTGCTTTCACTGAAGTGCAGAGGGGCATTTTCAGAGAAATAAGTAAAGTGGAATCCTGATGTCAAGTGGACATAGGACTAGCTGACCATTGTGATATTTGTGGTACACCAAATCTGGATTGTAGAGCAAAATTCAGGACAATCCAAGGTCAGGAGTAGTTGTTAAAATAGGCATTTCATGGTTGAGGAAGGTGCAGGTAACAGCGTATCAATACAGTTGGCGATAAGGATAACCAGGAGTAAACTAAAAAGAAAACCTAATTCCGAATAGTATGACCAGCTACAAGCCTTGCAAGATTGTTTTCCTCAAATAAAATCAACATGTTAAAATAGGTATGGTATGTAGTAAAACACGTTGTCCACATCCTCCTCTGCAGTAGCTTGTGTTTTCATATATTTAAGATCTTTGGCTGTGCAACTAGTAGCCAATACAAAACATCACAATGGTTTCTGTTATGTGCAGCCATGTCTATAGCCCAAACTGTTGTTGGGGAAAACTTATACAGCATATATACTTCGTCACCTGCTGTGCATTTTAGTACTTGAAAATAAAACCCCATTAACATTAATCTGTATCCTCACTACTTACAAGAGCATCAGCTTTGCTACTAAAGTTTATATTTTGTATTGGTTTTGTTATTTTATGTTTTGTAGACATTGATAGTACGGTTTGGGGAACAGAATTTTCACAGTATAAATTTATGCTGGTAGCATGTGATACATTTTACAAAATAAAATAATCAGGCGCAGCCATCTTATTTCCTGCAATACCTTAGAAAAATTACAATTATTCCTGTTTTTTTGGGATATTTTCTGCCAACAACTCTTTGTAAAAATAATCACTTAATGATTATTCCCTACCCTTTCCAGATCTATTGGTAAAGAAACGTTATGGCATCATGAATACTACTGATTCAATGTTTTCCTATGGGGGTTCCAATTGACAGAAACTTACATGGTAGGTGCAGCATAAGTGCCTCTAGTGATTGCCAAACTGACAGCCACTAGAAGTGGACTCATTAAAGAGGCCAAGAAAACACAAATGCCACTTTTATTCCTTGCATATGTTATTCCACAAGAAGCTCTCCATTCTTGTCTCCACTCTTATCTATTTTAGTACTGACTTGCAAAATTCCCTATAGCTATTTGCTCCCCCATGATATCAGAGCGGAAACTAGTAGCATTCAGCTTTTGACATGTGCATGCATTGTCTGAGTCTAGGCTGTACAATCTTACCTCATTGGACTATCTGGGCGGCATATTCCCTATTAAAGGGACATTTGTCACCAAAACAACTTCAGCTTAATGAAGCAGTTTTGGTGTATAGATCACGCTCCTGCAGTGTCACTGTTCATTCTCTGCCATTAAAGAGTTAAATCACTTTGTTTATGCAGCTGTCGTCACACCTCCCTGCATGTGAATTAATCAGCCTTCCTAAACACTTCCTGTACAGTTATATAATGTTTACACTACCTTAATAGCAAATGGAGTTTAATTTAGAATTTCTTATCTCCTGCTCTGTTATTGGCTCGCTAGACCCTGCGGCAGCCTCTTGTACATAATTCAATTTACAGAGCAGGAGATATAAACTTTAAAAGTAAGTTACATCTGATTTTGAAAATGAAACCATTTTTTGTTTTAATGCAGGCAGTGTCATTTTCAGCCAGGGGAGGTGTAGCTAGGGCTACAGAGACTAGTGATTTAACTCCTTAATGGCAGTGAATTAAGCAGCAAGACTTCAGAGGCTTGATATATACGCACAAATTGCTTCATTAAGATAAAGTTGTTTTTATGCCTATAGTATCCCTTTAATCTCCCCTTCATTAGAAAACCACAATGGACAATTTTCTGTCTTGATTTTCCTTTTCAAGCCCACACTCTGCATTGTAATGCTGTAAACTCCACCAAAAGCTGTTAAAATGGATCTGCCAATTTTCAGTGGCTTTACTTATTTTGTAAAGACCACCAAAGATTACCTCTACGATTGGTGTCCGGTGGTTACATGGTGCAGTTGAAGGTTGTATACTTACCTGAAGCTGTCCAACATGGCCACTGCCATCTTCTTCAGCTCCTTAATCTACCAGGAGCTGTATCAGTGCTGTTCTCTTGTGCATTAACCAGGCTATAATTCTGAAATCTATGGAGGGTCCCATGACACCTCAGGAGCTCATAGATCATGTATTGTCACAGTGGCTACTTGGATTGGTCAAAAGTTGACAATGGAATTATGCCTGTGTCAACTACAGGCTTTACCACCAGGCAAAGGTGGCTCTACTAATGGTATCTGGTATTTGTTTGAATTTCAATGTAATTCCATTGCAGTCAGCATGAGTATTTCATAAAGATATACCATGCAAAGTAGTTTGTCAATATGGAATAGGGGCAACTTGCTCTACTCAGAGATGTAGAAGAGCAACATAACCTGTTTCTTTATTATATTAGACAGAAGCAAACTTTTTTTTTTTCTTCTAATTTTCACAGAGAGGCTTCACAAAACATACAACATATCAATGAACCGCACTACCCTACACAAATTGCTGATAAACCGTCTGCTAGAAGAATGACTAGTTACGTTAAAACACCCTGGATTTTCTACATCGTTTTGGTTACTGCAATCACAGTTGAACTTGTAGACGCAGCATAGCGAATATGAAACAGTCTTGTGATTTGAAAATATTTGTTGTGAGGTGTTTCCATAATCCGCATAAGAAAATGATTATTGCTACACTATGTGCATATCAACCACAGTATAAGCAGGCCTTTTTATTTCCAAATTCCCTTTCTATCTTTTTAATAATACGGTTTCATTGTCTGAGTTCAAGAAATTATGGAACATGGTAAAAATGCCAAAATTGCTCATGTCTAAAAATACAATGGAGTCGTGATTATAGAATCTTTACTGCCACATATATATGCAAACCCACCGTACAATAGTTTGTGGTTCCCTTGGGAAAAACAGTTGGTAGATATTGCTTAAGGGTTAAAGCGGGACGCAGTGGCTTCTGTCCACCAAACTGAGTACATACCACAGCCTTTTCTAATAATAAAATCTTTGCACAGAGGCTTCCAGCCTTCACATGGAGATAACCTTTATTGTTAGCGGTGTAATGTAGAAGCAAAAATATACATTACCTGACATTAAAGTTAGAACCCTGGGGACTTAAATTGTATAATAAAAGGTACTGGAATAATGTTTTATGACAAAAAGGAAAAAAAATCTGAATTATTCTTAGCAGTTAAAAAAGGTTCAAGACTTATTTGGAGGTCTGTTTAAATTGCCTGATAACTATAAGTAATTTGAGCAATAATCACTTCTAGAGAAAGGTCTATTTTTCTTTCCTGTAAAGTGCATGTGGTTGAGATCTGAATAATAATTGTTATGAAGTTAATTTGCTCTAGCACCCAGGAGCTTATAGTAAATACATACTTTAACCAAAAGAACAGTGTGTAGCAGACTATTTTTGAAACAGAAATGCAATCCAAGTCTCACATTTGCAATATTGGTTGAATAAACAGTCACTGCTACAATTACTAAATAAAATATTGAAATAAAATTTTTTTATGTGGTATTTCACGTAAAATGGAAATTTTAGCTTATAATATTACAATTAATTACATTTTATATTGCGCCAACGTATCCCGCAGCACGTTACTATGATATCAAGAGGGACTTTACTAACAAAACTATTGCAAATTTTGACCGCAATAATAGGTTGATGAGGACCCTGCTTGA